AGTTCTGTTGTCACTACTTGTCAGGAATAAATAGTGAAGTAAAGTGAAAATAAAGAAATATATAGCTGACTGTACATACCTTAATACTTGAAAAATTGTGATGCAAATAAATCTAGACTATAACATTCAAAAATAAATTTAGCTCGTACTGCCACACGGCAAAAATAAACCTATAGAAACCTTCTATTTGTGTCAACAAAATATATTGATGCGTTGCCTATTTTTGATGATTATTAAAATAATAGGCAACCTCATTTATGCTATATGAACTATTATGAATTTGGTAAAAGCCTAAGACAAATATTAGAAACAAGCCTATGTCCCTCAGGAAGGCAATGTAGCTACCAGTTAAGGAGTTTAAGGCCATTGTTTGAACGTACTTCCACTTACCTCCTTTAATGAGGACACAAGCAGCTTGGTAGTGGTCCCTGGAGTATCATTCTGTTAATTCTAAATTGAGCCTCGATGGACTGTGATCTGAATGTTGCATGAATGGTAGTGAACTCAATGTATGGGTACAATAAATCTGATTTTCCAAAGTCTGACAGCTTCCACTAAAGTCAGATGAACAAGCAGAAGCTAAATACCTCTTTGAAATAAGGTCTGGAATATAGTGCTTCTTATTTATTTATTTATTTATATGCACAGCATGTGCATTTCAATTTATTTTTGTTATGACTTTAAAAATTGCTAGGAATTTACTGGATCACACTAAAGATTTGATGAATATAAAACTACATGCTGGAGATGGGTTGCTTAACAGTGAGCAGCTATCTCTAGGAACTTGTGCTTCATCAATAAGTACTGATTTGACTTATTGCCTTCATCTTTGAGTGACCAAACAGTCAGAAGTTTGCTACATAAATATCTGTCATTTATTTTGCAACTATTTTAATTATCTGCGGTACTTACTGACGGTCAGTGTTGTTTATTCACGATATGAATAAAATGAGGCTAAGAAGGTTCTTTGATGCAATGAAAGTTTGGTAACCATAGTGAACCTAAGAGAGCAGAAGAATTAGAGTATCCTCTTTTCAGACTAGTCCAGAAATAGTAATATTTCACTGTCTTTGATATTCCAGGATGTGATGTCCACGTTCTTCCAGTTTGGGGCTTCCATCCAGCAGGAAGCCATTGTCATGCTGAAGATCATGCAGGATTATGACTGGCACGTGTTTTCTTTGGTGACCACCACCTTCCCTGGGTATCGAGACTTCATCAATTTCATTAAGACCACAGTGGAAAATAGTTTTGTGGGCTGGGACATGCAGAACATCATTGTACTCGATACTGCCTTTGGAGATGCCAAGACCCAAATTCAGCTGAAGAAAATTCATTCATCTGTCATCCTGCTATACTGTTCCAAGGATGAGGCTGTCTACATACTGGACGAGGCTCGTTCGCTGGGCCTTACTGGCTATGATTTCTTTTGGATAGTTCCCAGCCTGGTTAGTGGTAATACCGAAATTATCCCCAAGGAATTTCCTTCAGGACTCATTTCAGCATCTTATGATGAATGGGACTACAGTTTAGAAGCTCGGGTGCGGGATGGCCTTGGGATTATTGCCACAGCTGCATCAGCCATGTTGGAAAAATACTCCTTCATTCCTGAAGCAAAGACTAGCTGCTATGGACAACTGGAGAAAAATGACCGGCCATCTCACACATTGCACAAGTAAGGCTTATGTTGGTGTTTTGTTTTGTTTTTCTCTCCCCTACATAACCTTGGTAGTTTTTCATTTTAGTGCCTCTATATTTTTCCTTGAAGGAGAATAATATTTTTTGTTAATCCCATCATGCTCTTTTAAGCAATGATTTTCAGATGCTCCAAAGGAAGGTGCGATAAGGCTTGTTGCATTGCATGAGTGCATGGAAACGTGTTTATGTTCTGCAGAGAACAAATACGACTTGGTCTGGTGGAGAAGATGGCAGAATTTAGTCCTAGAGGGTATGAAACTGAGTTAATAAAATCATGCCATTGTTTGCCTCAGCTGTGAGGTAAAATTGCCAAAATGCTACAGAGGTCTTGCCTGTGCCTCTGCAGCTCCCACTTGCATCAGGAAGAACCTGGTAATATTTTAGAAGAAAAGAGATGTGCAATGTTTTTTAAAACGTCTCCCTGGAAAGTTTAGAAATATGAGATTAGTTAGGCAGCTTTTATCACCTAATAACTGAAATTTGTCACTTCTGCTTGTGAGGATTTCATTTTTGTCACCTCTACTAGACTAACTATAAAAATTAATCTGCATTAATCCAAGTTGATAGGAATATTTTCTCAAAATAGTTCATATGAGAGCAACCAAGATTCAAACCAGGATTTTTTGCTCTTTTTTTCTTTTTTTTTGGCTTTTTAAATTATCCCTCTGATGTGGTACTCATTAGTTGTATTTAAAATGTTGCATAATACGTGCTATGCAGTAATATATTTCTTTGTCTGGTTTGTGAGAGGAAGTAAAGGGATGGAATTGGCACAAGAGGAAACTCAGTGCTGATTTCGTATAGGAATACGTGCATACTTACATGAAGAGTTGACTGCTATATGACGTCGTAGAACAGTAATTTTTTCCCATGAAAATGGCATCTTTATGTATCGCATTCTTCATATGCTCTCTTAAATGCCTAGTACTGCTAAGTAAATGGGTTTTAATATTTCACACATGTATTTCATAAACAGTGCGACTAAACTTTTGAGAGGCTTGCAGAGTCCTCCTTGGAGAGAACTTGCCTTAAGTATGCTGTTTCAACTCTATGTTTGTTTGTTTTTGTTTCCCCTTTCTTATTTCTAAGCCTTTGCTTCTGGAGCTGCAGAAAATCACCAGAGAAGCAGCAGAAGACGTGCGCTTCTTGCCTGGCCCGGGCAGCGCGCCGGGCAGCGGCGGGGCTCCGGGCCTCACCTGGCTCCAGGCAAGGTGGTCGCAGGGTCATTTGTGTCAGGGCAGAGCACTCCAGAGGCAGTGCCAGGATCTGCAATGACTATGTGATCCTTAAATAGCTCTTTTTTTCCTCAATGCAAGTGATGAAAATGACAGATAAACAAAAGTGAAAGCAAATGGCCTCCCATTAACTAAAATTCGTGTGGAATCTATGGAAACAGAGAAGTCTAGTATTAATGTTTGAACTCCAGTTTCTGCGAATCCTGAATTGTTTTCTGTTGTCGGTTAGATATGCTTACATTAAAAATACCATGGTTCAGTGGGATGGCCCATAAGCACTCAAAGCTCTTTTGAAAGAGACCCCTACCACTTACTACGGATAATGCACTACTGTCGAGTCAAATTAGGTGTTCAGTAGTCAGCATTAGTTATCTTTCTTCTGTCATTTTTTTTCTCATTACATATGTATGGCTACAAGAATAGGGCTCACGAGCATTAAGGCAGTGAGATTAGACTTCAACAGGAGATTCTGCGGTGTCCAGTGGATGAGGCGCATGGAAATCATTAATAGGAGAAGCTGTAACATAGTGCATTGCGTTAATAAAACCCCTTCGCCATGCAAGACCCGCGGAGTTGTGAAGTGGGCATACTGTTCCTGTGCTGGAGATTCTTCAAGCTTCTCCAACACCACCAGAACCAGAAACAGGCTGTTTGTAATTTAGAAATGTCAGAATTATAGTAAAATGAATAAACTTTAAATAGTCCTTATATAACTCCCTAGGACTATTCTTGTCACACATTCTGTAAGAAAAGCAAGTATGTGCAAGCATTTAGCACTGCTAAGTAATGTCTGGGAGCTGACCAGCCTCTCCATGCCTAGGTGAATCAGGTAAGTTCATTGTGCTTCCCTTCCCTCACCACTAAAATACGGGTTTCTTTCTTACATGGCAATCCGAATCTCCACTACAAATCAAAGCTAAACTGGGATTTTATACTGAAATGTAATCTTTGCTTTCAGGCCACAGAAACTGTATTAATCAGTGAATTTGAGCAAAGGATTTTGGAGCATGCTTGTAATGAGAAGGGCTAAAACAATGGCAAATAGGTGCTGGGCCTCAGACCTGCTGCAGCGTGCCTTGCTGTCAGGGCTGGGGATCAATGCCAGAGAAGTGGGATTGTATGAAGGACGCTGCATGTGAGCTCAGAAACCGGGAACTTGGTGGAGGGCAATGAACCTCAGAAAGAGACTTTGGATGGTAATGCTTGAGCAAAACCAAGCTCAAGAATGGAGCACAAAAGTAAGAGGATTTTAGGCTCCGTATATTATTATGACAATCTAATTCAGCTTTAACCTGAGAATAGTGTTCTAAGCCTACTGCATAATAGCTAATTTGCTCATAAATGGAGGTAGGTAACATTTTACCTGCTGCTTGCTATACCTAGACAGTGACTCTATTTATGAAAAAATTATTAGTTTTATGAATTCTCAGTTTATGAATTCTGCTATGTAAAGAAAGCTATGAAGTAAAAGCTCTGTGTCCCTCTTTCTAGATCAAATCTTTCAAGTATTGAATTGGCTTGAATATATTATTTTTTGAAGCACACAATTTATCCTTCCCTTGCCACTGCAATTGTAAGATGTGTTTATTGACTTTTTAGACTCAGCAAAAATATGAATTTCTTTTAGTTTATTGGAATGATCTGATCAATCTTCATCTCTGATACACATGGGAAGACTAGTGTGTTTCCTCATGAGTAAAGGATTAAAAGTAAAATCCAGTGTTCGTTTTCAACTTACACACACACACATATATATACATATGTATATGTTCAGATCTAGATTTTTACCTGGCTTAACGTGTAGCTGAGGGGTGCATCGGCAGTCTGCATTTGCTGAGCCCAGTAATTTGCTAGCATCTTCTTTTCCCATCTGTGTAACACCCGGATCCCAAGACAGAAAACTACCGTTGTGCGAAATACTGGCACTAATGCAGCAGAATAGATAGAATTAGCAGTTCATTAATGCAATGTCAGTTGAAGAAGCACATTCTGTCTCTCTCTCAAAAAAGAAAAGCATCTAAGCAAACAAACAGCAAAACAAAATAACCCTGCCAGTCGTCATGGAAAATTCTGTTCCTTCATGAATAAAAATGCTTCTAATTTGTCTAGTTCAGTACTCATGTTATGTATACAAGTCATAACCCTGGGAGAACCATTTCACAAAAACATTTCCAAATTTTCAGCCACATGGATCAGGATGACAAAGCTGTTGTCCTGTTGTCCTTCTCCTGAAAAGCAAAAAGATGCGTCTGTCCGTAGGTTACCTTTAGTTGCATTCGGTTTGCAACTAAAAGGAAATAAGATGCAGGATTTGGATGCTCACGTTACTTTTGGTAGTGAAGCTGTAGGGCAAGGAAGGTCTCCAAAGCATGCTCTTGCTCTGGACAGGCTGTAGTTTCATATTCTTCCCAGCCGTGGGCTCCTTTACTCATCAATAACCTGGGGAGTTGGAAACGTGAAGTCCAAAGCATGAGTGGTTTTTCTTGCACAAAGGAAACTCTCTTGGGTCATGATCCTTTGAGCTCCGGGCCAGATACGACCATATTAGCTGATCCTTCCTGAACCAACCTGCTGTAAGAGTTTCTTTGGGAAGCTGGGCTCAGTGTGAGCTGTGGTTGAAAGGTGCTAACTGCTGTTACTCTCTTTCCGTGGCTGTTTTCTTGTCCTCGCTGTTGTGCTGCTGTTAGCTTGCATCAGGTCTGTGAAACAACCCTTTCCTCCGATGGTGAGGCTATGCTGTCTGTCAAGGCCTGATACTCATTCATCTTCTTCAATATTTTCATTTCAGTTTTTAGCAATGACAGATACATTTTCCTCTTTTTTTTTTGAGTAAGATCAAGTATTACATGGGCACAATGGTTTGATGAATAATCTAGTAAATCTGTTTAATGTTTTCATGCATGCAGATCAACAGCCAATTTAAAGCATCTTTGTTCATTTCATTAAGTCCTGTCAAAGGCTTAGGAAAAACAAGTATCATCTGCTTTATTGTATGATTGAAGAAGATGCATCATTATTTAGCTAATTATATATGAAGCAAAATGCTTTTTCACTAGTAATATGCATGCTGTGCAGAAGAACAAATATTATTTACATTTACCTAACACTCTCCAGTTGTTCTATGTTTATTTCCCATTTTTGGAATTCCACTCTGGTTTTGTGGGATTCATTGAGTATCCATAGGAGTATGTTGCATGTAGGGTGATGGTCTGAGACCGTAACCCTAGTTTTAGAAATCACATACCGTGCTTACATGTTAGGGAGGTAACCAGCTAATTTGATTATATTTTCAATTTAGGACTTTGTTTTTGGTAACTCTAATGCTTGAATGAGTTGCAGTTTTTGAATGCTACTAAATTTCTTTTTCCTTCTTCTTTGCTACTGCATATCCTGCCAAGCTGGACCTTTTGGAAATAGAAATCTAAACAAGGATGACTTACCTAAAAGGTTAAAGGCACGACTAAAGCTGTAGGTCAGCAGTTGAGCACTGAGGATATACGGATGCAGAGAGCAGCAGATTCCCAGGGAGAACAGTATATTGAGGGGAGGGTCTTAAACCGAGGACCAAGCTATTGTTCCTTCCAGGCTGTAATGTTAACAGCTGATTTCAGACATCCTATATGAGAAGGATTTATTATGATCAGCATGAATAAATGAAGAAGATACTCAAGAAAAATCTTTGTCAGTGACAGGAGCCCACTGACTCTAATTTGTTTGTGTGGGGATAACTTCTGATCAGGAG